AAATTATATATTGATAATTCTCTCTAGTAGCAGTGTCAGACTAATTTCATAATTACATATTCTTTTAGACATATTAAAATCAATTTATATCTGTGAACACTAGTTAAGATGTAAGACTTGGTTACAAATAATCTTCTGAATAGATAAATGTGGTGAGATGAAGTTAAAATGGACCCTAATGACAAAGCAAGTGCTCCAATAAAAATAGCAACTTGTTTTTCCTCAAAATCTTATCACTTATGTGTGTGTGTGTTTATATCCATATCTTTCTCTGCTTTGTCACTACATCCTGCCACTTGGTATCATCTCTAGAAAACAGGTAAAGGAAGGAAACTGATCAAAGTTGTCTCAAAATTTGCAAGAAAAATGACACTATCTTCAAAGGTAAATATTCTCTTCTTTTTTTAAGCTTAGAAATTTTAAATTGATAACCATAATATAAGAAAAATAAATTTCAAAAGTCTGTTTACATTTCAAATACAGTCAGAATCATTTTGTTATCTGGGACTCATTGGACCCTATGTAGCTCAAGAATGCAATATGGGAAAAAGGGGCGTTTGGTTTCCAGTCTATTATGCACTGTGTGACTTTAGATATGTCATTTAAACTGTCTGTGCTTTAGCTTCCAAGCTGTAAAATAAGATGGTATTTAACTTTAACATACTTTGTAATTTTAACAGGTAGAAGTAGCCAGAAGCAGATACCTCAGGCAGTAGTAAGTGTTAGAATCAGGTGACATATTAACAGACATAGAGAGGACATAGATGGTTTCCTGGAACTTGATACTATCAGAGTCAGCAATAGGGCCTATAATTCAAGCATTGATATTAAAAGTCTGTTCAACCAGGACAAAATAGGCAGTCAGAAAATAGTTTGTCTCTCAGAAATCATACCTAAAATATTGGAAAGCCATAGAGATGCATTAGTAAGAGGAAGGATGCCATATGGGCGTGCCTACTGTGTATCAACCAGTGATGTTATTTTTCTTCTCAACTGCTCTGAGAATAAAAGGATTTTCCCCCAACTTAAGTACATTATCTGAACCATGAAGGTTAAGTAACTGGCCTAATATCAAAATTAGGGTAAATTAGGATCTGGACTCTGGTTGTCTCCTAATACACAGCTGACTAGTTATGACAGTGACCGCCAAACCTAGTTGGACCTTAGATTTCCCAGTTGCAGTTTAAAAGTACAGATTGCTAGCCATCATCCCAGACTACTGGAATCAACTCTGGGCATGAGGCCATGGAATCTGTTTTGCTAGAGAGTTCTCGAAAGAACTTTGCTGACAGCTTGGTTTGAGAAAGATGGTGGGCTCAAGTCCATACAGAAGGGAAAGAGGACTGAGGAATAGAAATAATATGTACTGCAAAATCTGACATATTTAATTATTGAGACAGTTTTTGACCACCACTTCCAAAGTTTTACTTCTATGACATCCTAATTCTACCCATCTCAAACCCTATAATCCTTCTTCTGCCAACCATTTTACTACATAGAATTTGTTGGTAAATGTTTAAATACCAAAATTTTAAAAAATCTGTTTTATTATCTTCCTTTCTGGTAAGAAAGACTCAAATTATATTATAAAATAGTTACATTTCTAACTATACTCATTGAAATAAATGAAATATAAACCCTACATAAATCAGATTGTGTTTGTTCCAAGACTTTGAACATTATTGCTAATTGACACTTTGAAAAGTCTTGCCCATTTAAAGACAGAATACATTGAAAATGCATTTTTAGAAGAGCCATTGCAACCGGAAAATAGGGATGTTGAGACTAACAGACCTTTACAAGGAAATATTTACCCTTTAGCTAGCATATAATCTCTTTTCCTAAGGAGAAAACAGCATTTTATGTCCACGTTAAAACTATACCCATTGGCAGAAAAGTCTTATTGACTAGCTATATGGTGCTTAATTTAACAACCTGAAGGTTTTTTGTTACTCTCTATATGTTAATTATTAGTCCTTCCTTTAAAAGATTTTTTCCCCCAAGTTTTGGTGAAGTATAAAATGTTTGAGCCAATTTTGGTGGTGACAAAATGAGAAAGCAGCAACTTTTTCCATTACTGATATTTTGAGTAATAGGGCTATTTTTTTAAGAGCATGCTTATAAGTGGCTATTCCTTTAAAAAAACTTTTTTTGTTCTATATCCATTATGATTTTCCTAGTTTCTAGTTGCCACATTACTTTCAGTATCAGAAAAGAATCCTCAGAGAATAAAAGGAATAACAAAACTGAAACAATATTAAGTAAGATTATTTAAATGTCAACAATCCAGTAATTTACAGTATAAAATCAATAATATAAAAATATCAGTGAAGAGGTAAGTAGGAATGTGTTGAGTTTTATTTATTTATTTATTTATTTATTTTATTAGTTGGAGGCTAATTATTTTACAATATTGTAGTGGGTTTTGTCATACATTGACATGAATCAGCCATGGATTTACATGTGCTCCCCGAGACTTTAATACCCCACTCACAACTATGGATAGATCAACTAAACAGAAAATTAACAAGGAAACACAAACTTTAAAGGACACAATGGACCAGCTAGACCTTATTGACATCTATAGGACGTTTCACCCCAAAACAATCAACTTCACCTTTTTCTCAAGTGCACACGGAAGCTTCTCCAGAATAGATCACATCCTGGGCCATAAATCTAGTCTTGGTAAATTCAAAAAAATTGAAATCATTCCAGTCATCTTTTCTGACCACAGTGCAGTAAGATTAGATCTCAATTACAGGAAAAAAATTATTAAAAATTCAAACTTATGGAGGCTAAACAACACGCTTCTGAATAACCAACAAATCATAGAAGAAATCAAAAAAGAAATCAAAATATGCATAGAAATGAATGAAAATGAAAACACAACAAGCCAAAACCTATGGGACACTGTAAAAGCAGTGCTAAGGGGAAGATTCATAGCATTACAGGCCTACCTCAAGAAACAAGAAAAACGTCAAATAAATAACCTAACTCTACACCTAAAGCAACTAGAGAAGGAAGAAATGAAGAACCCCAGGGTTAGTAGAAGAAAAGAAATCTTAAAAATTAGGGCAGAAATAAATGCAAAAGAAACTAAAGAGACCATAGTGAAAATCAACAAAGCTAAAAGCTGGTTTTTTGAAAAAATTAACAAAATTGACAAACCATTAGCAAGACTCATTAAGAAACAAAGGGAGAAGAACCAAATTAACAAAATTAGAAATGAAAATGGAGAGATCACAACAGACAACACTGAAATACAAAGGATCATAAGAGACTACTACCAGCAGCTCTATGCCAATAAAATGGACAACTTGGAAGAAATGGACAAGTTCTTAGAGAAGTATAACTTTCCAAAACTGAACCAGGAAGAAATAGAAGATCTTAACAAACCCATCACAAGCAAGGAAATCGAAACTGTAATCAGAAATCTTCCAGCAAACAAAAGCCCAGGACCAGATGGCTTCACAGCTGAATTCTACCAAAAATTTAGAGAAGAGCTAACACCTATCTTACTCAAACTCTTCCAGAAAATTGCAGAAGAAGGTAAACTTCCAAACTCATTCTATGAGGCCACCATCACCCCAATTCCAAAACCAGACAAAGATGCCACAAAAAATGTGTTGAATTTTGATAGTCAAAGCTAATGTAGGCAAAGTCAGAGGCTAAGAATAAATAGGGAAAAGTAAAAGAAATATAATGAAATAAAGTTATGTTAAAATAAGCAAAATGGGAAGGAAAATACTCATGTGTCAGTCAGGTTCCCAGCAGGTAACAGCATGGAGGGTTGGGGTTTTTGAGTATACTTCTCAGTTCACAAAGGTGGCTGCTAAATTAGAGGATCCACAGGGGTTGTAAAGGCACTCGGCAACATCCTGAAGACATCATGCCTGTAGTGTTAGTAGATCCTGCTGATATGTAGAATATGGGAGGGGGGCCCCTTCTGCCCAAAACCATGGTCCTAAAGGTGCATAGTCCAGTCAGAGTAGCACAGAAAGGGAGGAAGCAGAAATTTCCTGTCAGTGCATCTCACTGGGCACACTCAGCTGAAAGGCACCAACCAAGACAAAGTTCCAGACGGTTTGAATTTACGTGTAACTTTTTTTTTCAGTTTTGTTTTTCTTTATTTGTCTACCTTCAACTTGGTTCAGATATACTGCTTGAATGATCCAGACATACATCCCCCACCACCATTTGCCATGTATGGGTGCTAGGTCGCTTCAGTCGTGTCCAACTCTTTGCAACCCTATAGACTGTAGCCTGTCAGGCTCCTCTGTCCATGGGGATTCTTCAGACAAGGAGTGGGTTGCCATGCCCTGTTCCAGGGGATCTTCCCAATCCAGGGATCAAACCTGTGTCTCTTAAGTCTCCAAAATTGGCAGGTGGGTTCTTTACCACTCGTGCCTCCTGGAAAGCCCCATTCTTTCCCACTGGTTTTTAAAATAAAATCTTCACTTCTAAAACTGAAACACTAAAGCATTAAAATACAGAACGCTCATTTAACCCACTTCACAAAAGCATTGACAGATGATGTATCCCCTTTGTAACTATTTAAAGATAAATTGAGTTAACACAGACACCAGTTGTACATAGACAGAGGGATGCTTAACTGCAAGAACTCAAAAAACTCTATTCAGTGTTGTAATGGCAATTGACAAACCGTTGAAGACAGGAAGTCCCAAACATGGCTAAATACGGGTCACAGGATGAGTCAGGATAGAGAGACCAGCTGCACTTCACAACATGACAACTTGGATTGGGTAGGGTGGAGGGACTTGAAGACACCTGTTTGTAATAGGGGCAGTGTGATCCCTTAGCATGTGGCCTTTGCAAGGCACCATTATCTAGCAACTCATTACCAGGCAATGGTTACCAGGGTTAGAGCAGCCGTTAGAGGTCCTGCTTAACCGTTGGTGGGAGTCACAGTGGGCCCCACCCCTAAGCGAGAGCTGTCGTCAAGCCGCCGTTAGAGATCCTGTTTAGTCATTGGTCGACACAGTAGTTGGCCCCGCCTCCAAGCGTGCAACTGTCAGTGAGCAACCGTTAGCCGACCCATCTCACCCAATGGTCCCCAGAGTGGTGGTCAGTGATCGTTGGTGGCCGTCAGGTGGAGAGTGAGGTAAGAAGTGGGTTCTGGCATTCTTCTGGGGCTCTCCAGCTCACTTGGCCTCTGACTGGCAGGTGAGCTGGGAGACCCAGGGAGCAGGCTGGGGACTGTGTCCTGCAGGACTCCAGAGACCTCACCAAGGCCACCCACTGGCGGGATCCAGTCCGTGAGGCGGCAGTGAGCCTATTTTTCTTCTCTGCCTCTGTGACCTTGATGCCACAGCCGTCTGCACTGGGACGGGGTCTGTGGGATCTGCCCCTATTTGGGTGTCCTGAGGAGCCTGAGGGCCAGCTGATTCCTGGACACCTGACTCCCTCAGCGGTGACAGCCCGTCAAGGTCTGGGGATTTGGCTCTGAGGGAGCCGCCAGCTGAGATCTACCTCTTCCGAGTCAGGACTGGGACCTCAGAGGATGAGAGTTGTGCCTTGGCACATGGCCGTTTCTTGTCAGGACAGAGAATGGCATTCCTTTGGTAGAGATTTACAGGAGCATTCTTACCTGTCCTCAGGAACACAGGCTCTGACACCATGAAGTTTGCAAGACTCACCCCACCCCTCCCTTGCCTTTCCTTTGTACAAAAGGGCTTTGTGAGAGCGCTTGGGGAGTTGGAGGCTTTTAAGGCAGGAGCCACCCGTCTCCTTGCAGGGACCTATAGTAAACCTTTCTCTGCTCCACACTCTCATGTTTTGGTGGTGTCACTGAACATCAAAACTGACTTGCGTTTTCGGTAACAGTTTGAAATGTTAACTGTGATGCATGAAACTGACTCTTACGTGATGAGTGTGTTACCAGGCCCAAGGTCTTCCTGCTCACTGCATGACAGGACAATAAATTGGGAGATGAGTTGTTGGAGCAAGGAATGATGACTTTAATTGGAAGGCCAGCAGATTCAGGAGATGGCAGACTAGCCTCTCTGAGAACCATCTCTTCTCTGTCTGGAGTCAGGGTCCCTTTTATATACAATTGGGAGGGGGAAGGGCTTTCAGTGGTATTGACCACTGGCGGAGCAGGACTGTTAACTGGTTGCTGGTTGACAGTTGCTCATTTGGTTGGGAGGAGGAACGCAATGGGGTATGGGATCAACTGGCCAAGTAGGACTGTTATAGCCACTGTCTGTCTCAGTGGAGCCAGGGAGGGAAGGGCCCCTCATGCCTTGGGTCACATCTGGGATCACTGCTACAGGGGGTGGAGGGTAGACACAGAAGGTACAGATCTGTACCCCAGAGGGCTTCATCTGTGTTGGGAGCTCACGCTGTGATCTGCCTTTGTGCAGTGTTCTCCATGATGGCAGCTAGGAGCTGGGAGGGCAGCTGGCTTTCTGGCACAGTTCCACTGTGCTGAGTAGCCTCCTTGTTTGCCTTGGTGTGCTCCACATAGCGCCTGTGACCCTAGATTGTAGGATGCCTTGCCTGAGCCGTGGCTGTTCCTCCGCTCTGGCCTCCACTCTCACTGTGGTTGGATTTGCTCTTCTGGCTGTAGCTGTAGTCTGATCTGCACCACCAGGAGCTTTAGGAAGCTGAATAGGGGGAGTAGCTGCCTCCTTCTTGACGGCAACCTGTCTGATTGGCCTGAGGGAACGTAGTCGCTGTAATGGCTCTGGTTGTAGACTGTGCTGGTCTTGGTGGGACTGGTGGCCTGAGCCATGGGAGGGCTTCTACTCACTCCCAGACAGCTGTTTCTTTCAGGTATGTTTTGGGGGTGATGGTGAGTTGTAGTTGTCAGCTTAGTAGTGGGAACTGTAGCCGGAAGAGTCACCACCAGCATTGTCAGAATGCCCTCTGTTCCTATAGAACTGATTATCGCAGTGGTCATTGAGTTGCCTCAAAAAATGTGTCCAGTGGGAACTTTTGTGAACAATGATCACCATGTAATGGCAGAGCATCCTTCCATTTATACAACACAAGAGGACATGGAGGCAGTTCAGAACATGGTGTCCCACAGGGAGTGGACTCTCAAAGTCATGTCCCACTGGATCGCTGAGCAGGAGGAAGGCAGTGGCAATCATGCTGAATCTGAGAACGTGGATATGCCCAAGAAGGATGAAAACAAAGGAAGTAGCCAGGGAGCAGAAGATAAAGCACATGACCAGAACCCTGAGGGGTGTGATGTGTGTTGGCCTCTTGGCAAAGGGCATGCTTCTCAGGGGGGACTTGGACCTGCAGCTGGTGCTATTGTGTAAGGAACCACCTATGACTGTCCTACTGGACAGGGTGGCTGACAACCTGGCTATCCACTCACTGCGTTGCAGATGACGAGTATGAAACACATGTAACTCTTAATAGCATTTTGCAGCTTCACAGTTGATTGCATACAGTTTCAGCCTCTAATCCATTTGATTTTTTTTCTTTTGCGTGTGAAAAGACAGACTTTATTGATTTTCCTCCTTTTCTTGTATTGGAATTTTTGCATGGATTCTCTATTCCACTCGCTCCCCATTCCTGACTCATTTTGGTATGGTGGCTCTATTGCCCAGGCTTGTGTTTTCCCTAAAATAGTTTGAGAAGATTCTTGGCTCTTCCTATCTCTCTTGGCACTAGATGGATTCTCCTGATGTAAACTGACTGAAGGGCTGGGTGACGTGGGTTTCACTTTAGCCAATTAGCTGTCCCTTGAAGGTTGTGGAAGTAGTTAAATCTTTGGGAAATAAAACTTAAGAGGTAGGGTTTATTTTCTCCATATATTTGTTGAAATAGTACCAATGAATCTGAGCTCAGCCAACTAAAAAGGATATACTATCCTAGAAGAGAGAACTATTAAATTACAAATTGTCTTTCTGCCACTCCTCCACCCCACAGGCTCAGGAATACCTTGGCCATTTGGAAAAAAGTTCCCTTGAAGAAAACTTCCATGTTCCTGTGTAATTTCTCTTTGATGAGCTACTGTTACATCCTTCTACTGTTGAATGCAAGGAACTCCTCATTTATTATTCCTTCTCTCCCTCTCTATGCCAGAAAATCATAGGATTATCTTGGTATGTGCAGAGCACATTTAATAATATTCACACCCATTGAGCACCTACAAATAGAAGTGAATTTGATAAAGGTAGTTAGAAAATATGTCCTATATCAAACATCATGTTGTAAGTTGCTTCAGTCATGTCTGACTCTGCATGACCCTATGAACTGTAGCATGCAAGGCTCATCTGTTGATGGGTTTCTCCAGGCAAGAATACTGGAGTGGGTTGCCATGCCCTCCTCCAGGGTATCTTACTGACCCAGGGATTGAATCCATGTCTCTTCTGTCTCCTGCATTGGCAGGCAGGTTCTTACCACTAGCGCCACCTGGGAAGCAGCTAATGCTTTCTCTTACATTGGAAAGGCAGCAGTGATGCCCACTAATACATCCAAAAATGCTGTTGGATGTATTAGTATAATAAGGCAAGCAAGAGAAACAAAGAGTATACCAAGAGTATACAAGATATAACAAGTGTATAACAGATGTTAATTTCATCAATATTATGATTTTTAAAAATTCTATAATTATTTACATATTTGAAGTAATAAAAGTATTAAGTGAAGTTTACTGAAGTCATGGACATAGGTCAAGATTAAAACACCATTTCAATGTACTAACAATAAACTAAAACTTTAGTTTAATATAAAGTTTTATATAAATTATATAAATTTTAATTTATATATAATTTTAATATAAATTAAAAATGAAATAAAAATAAAAATTCAAAATATATGCCATTCACAGTAGAACCAACAATATCAGATACCTACGACTGACAAAACAGCTCCAAAGGATAGTGAAATACTATTGAGAAAATACTGATTTATAAGCTCAAAGCAGTCTGAATAAAAATTGTGTTAGTTTTTTTTTCTGGTAGAAATTGAAATGCTGATTTTAAAATTTATATGTAACATTAGCACTTTTGAAGGAGGAGGTGAGATGGCTTATGCTTTCTGAAACCAAAACTTTTTAATAAAGTTTGCAAGCTTGATGTGCTGCAGTCCATGGGGTCACAAAGAATTGGACATGACTTAGCAACTGAACAACAACAGTCCATAACATAGGGTTCACAAAGTGTAGAAACATATCCACAAATATATGAAAATTTAAGATTATTTCATTATAATAAATATTAATAAATATTGCTGATTCAGTTGGACAATCCAAAGGGGAAAAACGAAACTTGACCCCTAATACCATTTACACAAAAATATCAATTTTGAGTGAAATGTTGACTTAAAGGAAAAATACTGTGAAGATTTTCATTGGAATAAGGAATGATTTCTTAAGCAAGACATAAAAATCATTAACCATATTATTTGAGAAGACTGAAAATGTGGGCTACATTAAAACTGAAAACTACATAGAGAATGGAAGGTAAATTAGAGTTCGAAGATATTTTTGTAACACATATATTTAAACATAGTAAAAAAAACTTGAGTGGTTACTTCACAAAGCAGAATATCCAAAAGATCAATAAGAAAGTTATTCAAGCTCAATTAGTAGCACAGAAATGTAAAACAGTGGCTCAAATGTTATAAAAGACTAACAGTACTAAATGTTGGTAAAGATGGTGAACTCTCATGCACTACTGGAGAGAAAGAAAATGAGTATAGTCATTTTGGAAACAGTTTACTAATATAGTACACATGCATATTCTAACCCAGCAATTCTACTTCTGAGTGTATACCCAACTTATGCATATGCATGAAAACCAACAGGCTATAGAGGAATGTTCATAACAACATTATTATAATAGTAAAATAATAGACTACTCATATGACCATCAATACTAAAATGAATGACTAGTTTGTAGTCTACTCATTCAGTGAAATATTATGCAGCAGTGAATATGAATGAACTGAAACTAACATAGATGATTCTTATAGTCATAATCCTGAGTGAAAGGAACTGGGTATATGGGATCTAATCAAATTTAAAAGCAGAGTGAAGAAAACCATCAACAAAATGGAAAAGCAACCTACTGAAGGGGAGAAGATATTTGCAAACAATATGTCTGGTGAGTTAATATTAAAAATAAACACAAAATTCATACAACTCAATATTAGTAAAAGGCAACAACCTGTTTAAAGGTGGACAGAAGAGCAACCTGATTAAAAATTGCCTCAACAGACATTTTTCCAATAAAGACATACAGATGGCCAACAGGCACATGAAATGACCCTTGACATCACTAATCGTAAGTTTTACATGTTCTTGAACTTTATGTTAATAGGATATGTGTAGTTCTTTTTTGAAGTTCCTAATAGATAATTGACTTTTTTTTGAAGAAGAGTTCAAAGAATGTTCAAACTACCGCACAACTGCACTTATTTCACATGTTTGTGATGTAATGCTCAAAATTCTCCAAGCCAGGTTTCAACAGGATTGAACTGAGAACTTCCAGTAGTTTAAGCTGGATTTAGAAAAGTCAGAGGAACCAGAGATCAAATTGCCAAAATCCTTTGGATAATAGAAAAAGCAAAAGAATTCCAGAAAAACATCTACTTCTGCTTCATTGACTATGCTAAAGTCTTTGACCATGTGGATTACAACACACTGTGAAAAATTCTTAAAGAAATGGGAATACCAGACCACCCTACCTGCCTCCTGTGAAACCTGTATGTAGATCAAGAAGCAACAGTTAGAACTGGACATAGAACAACAGACTGGTTCCAGATCAGGAAAGGAGTATGTCAAGGCTTTATATTGTCACCCTGCTTATTTAATTTACATGCAGAGTATATCATGCGAAATGCCAGGCTGGATAAAGCCCAAGCTGGAATCAAGATTGCAGGGAGAAATATCAATAACTTCAGATACACAGAAGACACCACCCATATGGCAGAAAGTGAAGAAGAACTAAAGAGCCTCTTGATGAAAGTGAAAGAAGAGAGTGAAAAAGTTAGATTGAAACTCAACATTCAAAAAACTAAGATCATGGCATTTGGTTCCACCACTTAATGGCAAGTAGATGCAGAAACAATGGAAACAGTGACAGACTTTATTTTCTTGGGCTCCAAAATCACTGCAGATGGTGACTGCAGCCATGAAATTAAGACATTTGCTCATTGAAAGAAAAACTATGACAAACCTAGGCAGCATATTAAAAAGCTGAGACAGTCTTTGCCAACAAAGTTCCGTCTAGTCAAAGCTATGGTTTTTCCAGTCATCATGTATGGATGTGAGAGATTGATGTTTTTAGATATAGTGTTGGAGAAGACTCTTGAGAGTCCCTTGGACTGCAAGGAGATCCAACCAACCCATCCTAAAGGAAATCAATCCTGAATATTCATTAGAAGGACTAATATTAGTTAGTTCTAATAATAACTGATATTTGTTGAAGCTGAACTTCCAATACTTTGGCTACCTGATGTGAAGAGCCAATTCATTAGAAAATACCCTGATGCTGGGAAAGATTGAAGGCAGGAGGAGAAGGGGACGACAGAGGATGAGATGGTTGGATTGCATCACTGACTCAATGGACATGAGTTTGAGCAAGCTCTGAGAGATGATGAAGGATAGGGAAGTCTGGCGTGCTGCAGTCCATGGGGTCCCAAAGAGTGGGACACAACTGAGTGACTGAACAACAGTGATATTTGTTCCAGGTGGTGGTGTTAGTTCCAGGTGGTGGTGGTGTTGAGTCACTAAGTCGTGTCTGACTCTCTGCGACCCCATAAATTGTAGCCTGCCAGGCTCCTCTGTCAGCGGAATTTCCCAGGCAAGAATACTGGAGTGGGTTGCCATGCCCTCCTCCAGGGGATCTTCCCAACCCAGGGACTGAACCCGTGTTTCCTGCATTGCAAGTGGATTCTTTACCGCTGAGCCACCAGGGAAGCATAGTTGTTCAATATCTTTATAGATTATACTCCAAACAAATTTACTATAAAATATTAACTATATTCCCATGTTGTACATTACATGCTTATAAATTATTTATTTTATATATAATAGTTTATGTTTGACTCAGAACAGTAGTTATGTCTGGGGAGGAAGGAGGGTAATAAGAAGTTCGATAGAGAGAGCTTCCCTGGTGGCTTAGTCGGTAAAGAATCCACCTACAATGCGGGAGACCTGGGTTCAACCCCTGGGTTGGGAAGATTCCCCGGAGAAGTGAATAGCAACCCACTCCAGTATTCTTGCCTGGAGAATCCCATAAACAGAGGAGCTTGGTGGGCTGCAGGCCACGGAGTTGCAGAGTCATACACGACTGAGTGACTAATCACAACACAGCTCAGAGAAAGCTTACTGGATACTGGTAATGTGCTTTTCAGAAGTGTTGGTGCTGAGCTGTACACTACTGGTGTGTGTTATATTTTTAAAATTCAAAGGGAATACACACAGAATTCAGAGTTGAGTTCTATTTCTGCTACATTTTTCCTGAGGTGATTTTTTAAAATTGTAATATTTTTATTATATTATGTAAAGATTACTTTGTCATCAGTTCAGTTCAGTTCAGTCACTCAGTCGTGTCCGACTCCTTGCGACCCCATGACCGCAGCATGCCAGGCCTCCCTGTCCATCACCAACTCCCGGAGCCTACCCAAACTTGTGTCCATTGAGTCAGTGATGCCATCCAACCATCTCATCCTCTGTTGTCCCCTTCTCTTCTTGCCTTCAATCTTTCCCAGCATCAGGGTCTTTTCAAATGAGTCAGTTCTTTGCATCAGATGGCCAAAGTATTGGAATGTCAGCTTCAACATCAGTCCTTCTAATGAACACCCAAGACTGATCTCCTTTAGGATGGACTGGTTGGATCTCCTTGCAGTCCAAGGGACTCTCAAGAGTCTTCTCCAACACCACAGTTCAAAAGCATCAATTCTTCAGTGCTCAGCTTTCTTTATAGTCCAACTCTCACATCCATACATGACCACTGGAAAAACCATAGCCTTGACTAGACAGACCTTTGTTGACAGAGTAGTCTCTCTGCTTTTTAATGTGCTGTCTAGGTGGGTCATAACTTTCCTTCCAAGGAGTAAGTGTCTTTTAATTTCATGGCTGCAATCACCATCTGCAGTGATTTTGGACCCCAGAAAAATAAAGTCAGTCACTGTTTCCCCATCCATTTGCCATGAAGTGATGGGACCGGATGCCATGATCTTAGTTTTCTGAATGTTGAATTTTAGGCCAACTTTTTCACTCTCCTCTTTCACTTTCATCAAGAGTCTCTTTAGTTCTTCTTCACTTTCTGCCATAAGGGTGGTGTCATACTTTGTCATATTAATATATTAAAACATGGAAACCTGAGGGGAATTTTGGAAAAAGTAAAACAAGAAGTTATATTCTTTAAAAAATGAATTTCTCAATCTTATCCAAGATTGTCTTTGTATTGACTCTCCTTCAGGCTTAAATTAAATATATATCTCTGCTTTAAACATGATAGTCAGATTGTTTCCTACTCACAATAGAGCCAGCTTTATTTAGGCATTATGGGTTTTGATTAGTTTGAGGTTTTAAAATGGAAACATCTGGTAGATAAGTAACCTTACAAAAGAAAATGGAAATTAATTTAGATATACATTAAATAAATTTAGGGGAATGGGCTAGGTATATTTAAATATGTAGAAAAAAAACTTTCATATGAACAAAAATCAAAATTGTGTCTCTTAGTGACATGCTAAAATTATGGAGAGGCCACAAGAATTTCTAATATCTTTTAGTAGAATTTGTATAAGAAATTTTATTTTCAAGCTGCTACAGTAACCCATTGTTTTACTGAACAGCTCACTTAAACTTCTTGTCTTCCATAAGTTTTTAGGATGGTATATTTATTTGCTGATAACAAAAAATTTTATTTACTATTACATTTTATTTAATTTTGTTAAGCTATTATCTTTATTAAATATTATTTAATTTTCATTTTAGGCTATTACAGTACTATTTGAATGGTGGTGGTGGTTTAGTCACTAAGTCCTGTCTGACTCTTGCAATCCTATGGACTGTAGCCTGCCAGGTTCCTCTGTCCATGGGATTCTCCAGGTGACAAAACTGGAGTGGGTTGCCATTTAATCTGTTATTTATAGATAGATCTTGCTTCAGGGTCTTTAACAATATTGCATAAATATGCAACTAAATTGATGATAATTTTTTAAAATGTCTTCTTGTAGACAATAGAGTTCCTCAGTATCTGGTAAGTGATCTTATCATGTGTTTTTCAAGTGTGTATTTATGCATAGTAGAAGAAAATATTAAAAGTAAGGAATATGTGTGTTGGCATCATTGTACAAAATGCATTTTTACTTAATAGTAGAACAGTTTATCTAAGGAACAGTCCTTTTCACTTAACCTTGAAATCTACATCTCTTTATTCTTTCTTTCTTCATTTAGATAATCATGCAGCAAATATTTTGTGTGTGTGTATCTTATTCCTTAGATTGTTTCTTATGAAACTTTTTACAGACTATGATAGTACACTGATGTTTCTAGTCTTAATCATTACATCACATTTTTGAAATGTCATCATTTTGTTTTCACTATTAGCTTTTATATGAATATTCTTTTTCTAATGAGTTTATACATTTCTGAAAGCAGGAACCGTGTGTGCTTGTTCTCCCACATATCAAGGAACACAATGTACTCAGGACAGCTTCATTGAATAGAGTTGTATTGTTAAAGATTTAAGCTTGTATTATTAGTAAAGTCCAACATTTTGGGGCGAACATTGTTGATAAAATTTCTTCTGCATTGTGTATTGTCCCTGCTGTAGTGCTATTAAAGTAATGAGATTTCTGGTTCAGTACTCATAATATGGAACCTCACAGTAAGAAATTATAAAGAAAAGTTTCAAATCAGCTTCAGTGCTGGTTTTGAATTTAAACCAGGGCAAATTTACTATGCTACTTTACACAAACTGAGTGTGTTTGCAAGAGTGAGTCAACCAGGAGATACTGAAAGTGCTGGTGTAATGTTCTTTTTACTGGGAGTCGGAGAAACAGCCTTTCAACCAGAGTGGTCTTGCATTTCCAAAGAGTGGCTAGTAGTGTTCCTACATCAGAAATCCACACACACAACCATGGCAGATATTCTTAAGATTCAAGTTTAAATATGACCTTTAGGATTCACTCCCTCACTTTCTAGCCACAAGTAGGGATATCAGATTGTTCTGAAGTTCATACTAGTTAAAAACAAGTCCCTGGGATCACACTGTCCAGTATTGTGTGGACTTGGGAGGGTTTTTAAACTCTGAGCCTCATGTTACATATGTAAGTGGAGATGATGATGCCTTTTTTAATGGGAAAATTGTGAGCAATTGAAGAGATAAAATCCTAAACCATTTTTCCTTCTCTCTCCACCGGTGATATATACTGTACTCTCATATTTAAAAAAAAAGTAGGTGAGAACAGTCTAACTTTTAAGAATTCTGACCCCACATTTCAATTTATAATATCAATATTCATCCATCTCCAAACATGAGGACCTGTCTTCCTTGATAAGTCAAATGTTAGACCTATACTCCTGGTCTTTTCCCTCTTTGCCTTTATCACCTACTAGCATCCTTTATCCCTTGTTTCATGTGTTTTCAGTTTTTTTCATTCCAGTTTCTCTTTCTTTTCAGCCTGCAAAATAAGTTTTAAGTTATGTTTAATTTGGGAGTCATCAGAATTCATCCTTCATTGTTTCTCCCCCAACCTTTCCAGCAAAATTAGAATAATTTCTACTCACTGTATGGATATTATATGGATATCACTTTTTCAATAGTGTATTAATATTAATAAATCAAACTTGTAGAATTTTTCTCATTACCTCTTCAACTCACCAACCTGACTTTTTTGCCCATTTTATTGAAATGGCTTTGTCAGAGATCACCCATGACCATTGGAAGATCCCATTTTCCAGTGACTAACATCCAGTGACATAACATCTATGCAATATTTGATCTCTGTCATTATCTCTTCCTACTGTTGACAACTCCTTACTTCTTAACTCTTTTCTAATCCTCCTTCCTTAACAAAAAAAAACAACTCTTCTTTTGATTCTTATTTATCCTCTTAATTATAAGTATTGTATATTTCCAGGGTTTCACCCCTTACCTTTTCTCATTCTTGTCTTTTTTACCTCCCCACCACCTCAATGGTTTCATTTACTTCTAGCCTTTTAACACTCATCAATGTTCCAATGACTTTACAGTCTGAATTTTGAGATCAGGTCAACTATATACAACTCCAAAGCCTGGATGAAAACAGGCTGTTGTATGTCGCATAATCATCTCAAAGAGAACATCCCCAATTTTGCCTCCTCCATTACACTTTTCTAGATCAGGCCTTCATCCCATTTAGTTTGGACCAGTGCAGTTATCTCTGATTTAGTCTCACTATTTCAAGTAGTGAGAAGGCCATGAAAGGAGAGGTCTATAAATGCATAACTGAGAATTCCATTATAATTTCCCCAACATGCAGAAAGTTACTGGTTAGTACTAACAAAGTCAAAGGGACAAGGATGGGATTTTTAGTCCCTCTTTCTGAAAATCAGTTTTTTTCATTTTAAATATACGCAAGTTTGTGAGCTGTTTTACATAGATCCTTGTGTGCCTGTATGACTGGAAATACTCTATTAGGTAGTTTATGTAATTTATATATGTATAGCAATAGTTCATGATTAGACTCAGAGGTGAAGAGATCCAAATTACTTCTTTAGTGAATATTAGAAATTTTAATATTTTTCCTTGCTAAGTTTATGGCTATTTGTGGGTATCTTTTATGAAGAGACTATATTAAGTATTAAATATTCTTTAGTCCATTAGTGTGTTACCTTGGGGTCTGATAATTTAGTAATCATATAATTTATGTCAAAAATCAAAAGCTTACTTTTAAAAGTGAGGCAATATGCTACTGAATTTATGTGGTTTATTTATAGCTCACTAAGTTCAACATATTATATTTTATCAATATGTTTGATCCTTCATATTTCAAACTGCTATTTATTCTTGTGAGTCATGGATGTACTCAGAAAAGGAAAAGGAAAAGTTCTTGATATGAAATTTGAATGATCTAATTATTCTTATATCAAATATAAAATAAATACAAAATATCAAGTAATATGTCCAATATATTTGTGAAGAATGTTTTATTTACCTTTTTCTTTTCTATTATAAAGACTGATTTCTAGAAATGTTTGTGATTAATAAAGCCTTTGAACTATTCCTGTCTTAGTCCATTCGGGCTGCAAAAACAAAATACTGTCGACCAGGTAATTTATAAATAGCAGAAATTTATTTCTCATAGTACTTGTGGCTGGAAAGTTCAAGAATAAGCAATTTGTAGACTATTTAATGAGGGATGGCTTTTGCCTTCTTACTATGTCCTCACTTGGTAGAAGTGGTGAGAGATCTCTCTGGGTCTTCTCTTATAAGGTCACTTATCCTATTGAGGGCTCTGCCCTTGTGACCTAATCACCCCTCAAAAATCTCATCTCCAGATACTATCATATTCAAGATTAGATTTCAACATATGAAATTTATAGGAAAGTAAATATTCAGACCATTGTAAATCTCCTTAATAACATTTGATTTCCCCACTTGTTTAATAACAATTTACAAATCTAACTGGAAAAGTGAACAAATGTAATATTGTTTCCTCTATTTTCTCTTAGGAAAATATGTCCATTGTTACATAGTTTTATCTGTGTGCATATGTCACAGCAGCAAGAATTGAGCAAGTTTATTTGGGTTTCTTTCACCTACCATTTGTAAGCATAAAAGTTTATTTAATTAAATTATTGTATCCTTTCTTGTATATTCATAAATTTAGTAGTCTTTTCTGGTATATTAACTATAAATATAATATTTTTTCTCAAGAACATTGAAATTTTAAAATAAAAATGTGGTTTGTTGACATTTTTGTGTTATTTGTAACCATTTTATCATGACTATAAGCATTATTATAACTAATGGGTGAAATATTCATCTCCTTTATTTCAAAAACATCTCCAGTTCCTATTTTAAAGGAATTTAAATAGATATGTTGCCAGGATAATATTATTTGTACTCTAAAGCTTTCATTTTTATCTATAAAATGATGTAATTTGATCACATTAGAAACAAAAAGCTATAAATATCAATCTGTTTTGTCCTGTGCTTGTTATCTTCAGAACAATGAAACAAAATTGCAATTTTTCTGTAGTTTTTTGTTTGTTTGTTTTGACTTGTGTGATGAATTTAGACACTGTTAGATAAAATGCTAATGTTTTCTCTTAAGTACCTTTCTGTGGCTTCTGATTTTTTCACTGATCTTTTTTTGAGGTTTTGGTAATTTGCACCATCATATTTTACAATTCAGTGAGAAACAATATTATACCTCAAAGCAGCCTGCATTTTGTTATTTTTTTCTCTCAAGGATGCTTTTTTATATATCATCATTTGTTTAATTACTTTTAGACTCTGTAAATAATTCATTTCTCTGTACTGTATATACTTTTTAAGGTTTTTAAATTCTGAACTTAAATATGAGTGATATAAAATAGTTGTGAGTGCAAACTGATTCTAATGTTTATTATGGGGGTCTAAAGACCCAGTATAGCCCACACAATAATGAAAGAGAAAAACAAGATTAGAGAATGAACACTATCTGACTTCAAGACTTACTATAAAGCTATAGTAATCGAGACTGTAGTATCAGTGAAAGAATAGACAAAGAGATCAATGGAACAGAATGGGGATTGCTGAAACAGACTCACATGGTCAGCTGGTCTTTGGAAAAGAATCAAAAGCAATATAGTGGAACGAAGATAGTCTTTTCAACAAATGATGCTGGATCAACTGGACATCATATGCAAAAAAGTGAATCCCAGTATAGACCTTACACCTTTCACAAGCATTAACTCAAAATGGACCATATACCAAATGTGAAATACCAAACTGCAAAACTTCTAGAGGGTAACAGAAGAAAGCCTTGGGTATGGTGATGAATTTTTAGATACACCACCAATGACATGATCCATGAAATAAGTAATTGCTCAGCCAGACTTCATTACAATTGAAAAATTAATGCTCTGTAAAAGTCAATGTGAAGAGAATAAGTCAAGCCACAAACTGGAATAAAATATGATAAGTCTGATGAACTGTTATTGATACACAAAGAACTCTTAAAACGCAACAAGGAGAAAATAGCCCAATTAAAAACTAACCAATGGTCTTAACAGATGCCTCACCAAAAATGTACAGATGGTAAGTAAGCACTTGAAGTGATGCTCTTCATCATATATCATCAGAAAAATGCAAATTAGAACAACAATGAGATGCACACCTATTAGAATGTCCAAATTCAAAACACTGGCAAGACCAAACACTGGTGAGGATGTGGTGTGGAGCAATAGTAGCTGTCATTTATTGCTGGTGGAAATATGAAAAAATGGTACAGCCACTTTGGGAGATAATTTGATGAGTTCTCACAAAATATACGCTCACCATATGATTCAGCATATCACACTCCTTAGAATTTTCCCATAGGTGATGAAAACTTATGTTCACACAAAAACTTGCACAAGGATGTTTATAGCAGCTTCGTTTGTAACTGCCAGAACTTGGAAGCAATGAAGATTGCATTCAGTAGGTGAATAGATAAATAAACTGTGGTACATCCAGGCAATAGAATATTATTTACTGCTAAAAAGAAATGAGCTATCAAGCAATGAAAACACATGGAAAAACTTAACATGCTTATTACTAAGTGAAAGAAATCAAGCTGAAAAGGCAATTTACTGTATGATTCCAATTATGTGATATTCTGGAAAAGGCAAAACTGTGGAGACAGGAAAAAGATCCTTGGTTGGTAGGAGTAGAGACAGGGGGGGGAGACGAATAGGTAAGAGCCCAGAGGATTTTTAGGGCAGTGAAACTACTCAGTTTGATGCTCTAATGATGGATGCATGGTAATATGTACTTATCCAAATTTGTAGGATATACAACACAATACTGAACCCTAAGATAGAATATGAACTTGGAATGATTATGATACATCAATGTAGGTACGTCGGTTGTATCAATATAGTACTCTGGTGGGGGATGTTGTCAATGGAGGAGGCTATGCATGAGCACGGCAGCAGGTATATGGGAAATCTCTGTCTCTTCCTCTCAATTTTGCTGTAAACCTAAAACATCTCTGAAAAAGAAAAAGTCTACAAAAAAAAATAGTTGGGTAGAATGGGAACAAGATACTAACAGTAGCTGAGTAAAATTTAATAGCATGTTTTGGATTCCCATCCATTAAACCACTACTGCCCTTCCCAGTATTTTAAGTTTATAGGATGATTCCTTTTCTCCTCTTTGAAATTTTCACTAATTTCCCCTTTGATTCATTTTGTTTTTCCTTTTTCCTCCAAGTCTTTCTACTAATCATTAATGTTCAATTCATTAGGTAAGCAATTATTTATGGAAATAGTTTAACTCTATGATTTAACCTCCCCTGAAAGTGACATGGGCTTCCCAGGTGATGCTAGTGGTAAAGAATCCGCCTGTCAATGCAGGAGACATAAGAGATGTGGGTTCCATCCCTGGGTCGGGAAGATCCCCTGGAGGAGGGCATGGCAACCCCCTCCAGTATTCTTGCCTGGAGAATCCCATGGACAGAGGAGCCTGGTGGGCTGCAGTGCATAGGTTTGCACAGAATTGGACATGACTGCGACTTAGCATGCACGTACGCACAGAAGTGAGACACAAGACCTCCTAATGGTTACATGCATGAACTTTGGAACCAACTGCCTGAAATCAAATCCTACATAACGGTGTGACTTGTACAATTTACCAAACCTCTCTCTGTGCTTTTCTCATCTGTAGGATAGGGATGATATGCAACCCACTTCAGGGGGTCCTTATGAGCATTATATTGTTGATATTAGCAAGGTTCTGAGAACAGTGTGAGAACTTCTGAACACCTCATAAGTGTCTAAGAAATATGCATGCTTTTCATTTGCTGCTTCCTATTCTTACATTCTTTCTAAGTAGAAGTAATACTTCTTTTCCTCTCTGAGGCTAAATCTTCAACCTGAACTCTAATTCTTAATGCCTTTTACCTTCTCAATTTCTTCTTGGCTTCATGAATTATCTCCAAATTCCTTTTGGGACCAGACACCATGCTCCTGTCATGCAATATTTGTAGTATGACATTTCTGGTCCTTTATATATGATTTTCCTTTTGCACAGAACTGTTTTTCCCACCTTGTATGCTTAGCCTGATTTGACTCATTTGAATTTTTTCTGAGTCTCACGTCTTTAACCTTGTCTATGGCAGAGTCCCAGTTGCATACTTCCATCACAGCCTTTGCCCCCTTGCCTTATACATGTTGCTTTACTTGCCAATGTCCCTAGCAGAAATGAGTATTCTTTGAGAGAAATGATGATCATGACAGAAGGATTGGCCCAAGTTATATGTTTTTACGGTTAGTTTACGAATAGCTGACTGTTTGAATTTGATAAGCACCTTATTTCTAGTTTACTGTCATATGAATTCATTTCAATAAAATAATGTGTGATTTGACAACTAGCAGAGATTCTGTTTCCAGCGTGATTAACCAAGAAATGTGCTCTCACCAAGAATTTAAAAAATCAAAGACTGTTACTTAGCAGACCGAATAACAAGGATAACAGCTTTATTTTCGAACAAATTCTTATTTGAGAGAGTCTCATATTCCATTTATTATACAATCAACTCTTTTATGTTTTAGAATGACCAACAATTTAATATACTCCATGGTATCATCTGTCTTCATAGCTTTTTCTAGGAATTAATTTTCTCTTGAAGTCAGTGCAGATTATATTCTATAGCCAGAGGTGATGAATTAAAAAATAATGTTATGTCACCTTATTACAGGAAAAAAATGTTCTTAAGGGTTGTTAGTTTCTGTGACTCAATGTCCAGATATATGTCAATAGTATGTGGCTAACGAGGATGTTTTCAAAGGTTTTTGGTAGTTTAATCTATGCATTTTCAACCTATTGGGCATATGGTTTGGTAATAGGAATTTGTTATTCCATTGGTCTTGTCTATATTTGTCTTTGAATGAAAACAGAACTGACAGAATTGTCAATGTAAATGGGAATGTACTTAGCCTGTTTCTCCTTGAACTTTGCAGGCTTAGCCCTTCAGCATTGATCTGTTACAGGGTTGATAAGCCTGACCTCAGGTAGGTTTGGTAATTTATTGTTATGTTGCTTATCTTATGTCTTCTGTTGCTTAAGTGATCCAGACATGGAAACAAACCTACGGGAGAGCTATTTTCTGTTTCTTTTTCTTATTTCCTAAGTGGAATGTATTTTTTTGAATTTTTTTCCATTTATTTTTATTAGTTGGAGGCTAATTACAATTTTTTAAAAATTTTTATTAATTACAGTTGGCCTTTAAAATTTCTTTTGAATTAAGTTAATCTTTAAAAATTTTGTAATATAAAATTTAAAGGTTATAGGTATCCCTTTAATACCACTTTAGTTGCCTCATCATAAATTTTTGTCTCTAGTATTACTTTAATTTTTGTTCATTTTGATATATTTAAAGATTTTATTATGATTTGTTACTTAATTTCTGAGTTATTTAGACATGCATTTTTGAGTTTCAAAAATGAGAAGTTTTAATGTTTTTTTCTTGTTATTGGCTTCTTCTTCCTCTTACCTTTTCCAAATTGTTGCTTGTAGTTATCCCCATTCTCATCTATACTGTACATAATTTTCTCTTCTACTGCCTGAACTTCACTGTAAGCATATATGTTTGTTCTAGTTTGTGTTCTATTTCAAAATAAGCAAATGACACTTTTGACCCCACATTACCCTTTGTAAATATCATTTCTTACCTCCCCTTTACGGAATCAGTTTTTGAAGGAACCCTTAGAGTTGCTGTTCCCAGCTTTGTCTCTACCAGTTCTCTGAATCCATTTTGGCCAGGCTCTGTGCGTGTGTGTGTGCTCAGTCGCGTCCACCTCTTCGCGACCCCATGGACCATGCAGTCCGTGGAATTCTCCAGGCCGGAATACTGGAGTGGGTAGCCTTTCCCTTCTCCAGGGGGTCTTCCCAACGCAGGGATCAGATCCAGGTCTTCCGCATTGCAGGCGGATTCTTTACCAGCGGAGCCATATCCCATCGCCAGCGGATCTTCCCGACCCAGGGATCCAGCGGGGGTCTCCTGCATTGCAGGCCGGTTCTTTACCAGCTGAACTACTATAATTTTTTCTTTTTCTGCTTTAGGTATTTTGAAATGTGGTATTAAGTGCATAAACATTAGTAATTATTATATACTCCTGATGAATTGACCCTTCTATTATTATTAAATGATTTTCTACTTGATAACATTCTTTGCCCTGAAATCTACCTTGTCTGACATTGATATATCCATTCTAGTTTTCTTTTTCTTTTTTTTTTTTTTTTGAGATTTTCACAATTGTCTTTTTTTTTTTTTAATTTTTATTAGTTGGAGGCTAATTACTTTACATCATTACAGTAGTTTTTGTTATACATTGAAATGAATTAGCCATGGATTTACATATATTCCCCATCCCAATCCCCCCTCCCACCTCCCTCTCCACCCGATCCCTCTGGGTCTTCCCAGTGCACCAGGCCCGAGAAAGATGGTAACGATGGCCCTATATGCAGAACAGAAAAAGAGACTCAGATGTATAGAACAGACTTGTGCATTCTAGTTTTCTTTTGATTAGTATTAGTGTGATAGATCTTCTTCCATCTTCGTATTTTTAATCTGTTGTTGTCCTTGTATTTAAAGTGTGTTTCTTTTCGGCAGCATGAGATAGAGTCTCACTTTTTTTATCCAATATGATCATCTCTGCATTTAAATTAGTGTTTCACTTACATTTTATGTGATTATACACATGATTAGGTTTAAATCGATTTTATTAATAATTAAATCAGTTTTAATGTCTTCTGTTAATTATAATATATTTTGCATTTGGTTTGATTTGCTGAATTTTTGGATTATGAGTTTGTTGTGCTTTCTTGATTCTTTGCTTGCCTGATAATTTCTGATTAGATACCAGACATTATGAATTTTTACTTTCTTGGGTGCTGGATATTTTTACATTTCTGTAAATATTCTTGAGGTTTTTCCTGGGATAAAGTTAAATTTGATCTTTCTGAGTCTTCCTTTTCAGATTTATACATGGAATAAGAGTGATGTTTAGTCTAGGGTTAATTATCTTCCACTGTTACGCAAAACCCCTCTGTATACTTTACTCAGCACTGGGTGAATTATGATGCTTTCCAATGATATCTCTTGCGTTGGTGCTGTGTATTCCTTCTAACTCTTTGGGGGTTTGTTTCCTTGCTTTTGGTAGTAACCTTATATGCACAGACTGATCAGTATTCTGATGACTACTCTGGGAGAACTCTGCAGAATCTTGGCATTTTCTCTCCGTGCAGCTTTCTCCTCTTTGTTACTCTGTCTTAGAAATTCGAACTGCTTTGATTTCTTTGGACTCTCAGCAATGTCTCTTTAACTCAGCAAATCTTCCTGGCTGTGCTTGAGTTTCTCTTCCTGGTATAAGTTCTGGAAACTCTCAAAGCAGTTCAGTCACTCATTCGTGTCTGTCTCTTTGTGACCCCATGGACTGCAGCATGCCAGACTTCCCTGTCCATCACCAACTCCCAGAGCTTCCTCAAACTCATGTCCATCGAGTCAGTGATGCCATCCAACCATCTCATCCTCTGTCGTCCCCTTTTCCTCCCGCCTTCAATCTTTCCCAGCATCAGGGTCTTTTCCAATGAGTCAGTTCTTCACATCAGGTGGCCAAAGTATTGGAGTCTCAGCTTCAGTATCAGTCCGTCCAATGAATATTCAGGATTGATTTCCTTTAGGATGGACTGGTTTGATTTCCTTGCAGTCCAAGGAACTCTCAAGAGTCTTCTCCAACACCACAGTTCAAAGGCATCAATTCTTCCGTGCTCAGCTTTCTTTGTAGTCTAACTCTACATCAGGTGGCCAAAGTATTGGAGTTTCAGCTTCAGCATCAGTCCTTCCAATGAATATTCAAAACTGGTTTCCTTTAGGACTGACTGGTTTGAACTCTTTGCTGTCCAAGGGACTCTCAAGAATCTTCTCCAGCACCACAGTTCAAAAGCATCAGTTCTTTGGTGCTCAGTTTTCTTTATGGTCCAACTCTCACATCCATACTTGACTACTGGAAAAACCATAGTTTGACTAGATGGACCTTTGTTGGCAAACTAATGTCTGCTTTTTAATATGCTGCCTAAGCTGGTCATAGCTTTTCTTTCAAGGAGCAAATGGTAAACTAGGACTTATCCTGCCCCTTGACCCCTGCTCCCCAGTCTCAAGGATTATGCTTCATTGCCTGGCATCCAGCATCTTAGAAATCCTTGGTCCACAGATTTTGTCTGTTGTTTATTGTTGTTCACTTCTGATAGAATAGCAAATCCAGTTACTCACTGTCATCCTGTTACTCACTCTTAACCAGAAGCAAAACTCAAAATCTTTTCCAGGTTTTCTTTAGTATAACTCCTTTCTCAGAGTTAATTCTCCTATGTGTGACATAAGTTGACTGTTTCATTTTCATTTCATGAGTAACTAAAAATATAAAGCTTGATAGAGCAAAATATCCTAATATTTATTGCCTCATTTTAATGGCAGAATTGAACTTATACTTGGTAGATCTTGTTTTTTTTTTCCTTTTTTATTTTTATTGGTAGATCTTGAACTCATCTTCTGAGGGACATTTTCCCTTATATGTCCTTCTAGTGAGTTATGTTTGAGTATGCCAATAGCCTGGCATTTCGGAGTGCCCAAACTCAGTTTGTATCTGTGTTTTGACTCACAGATTTAGCCCTCTATGCCACAAAAAAAAATATAAGCCTATTTAAAATCAGACTAACTACATCCTGGCCACAGGGAACAATTTGTTTTGTTAAGGGGTAAGGAGTGGACACTGTTCCTATCCTCATTTATGGTAGAAACCTCATTTCTAGTTCCTGCCTAGGGTCCAAAATGAGGCATATTCCTGGTGGGGTCACATTTAAGGCCCAGTCTGGCTTCTCTGTGAGCTACTGATTTCAGCTGCTTTTTACTGCTCTGAGTTTCCTATTCATTTCTGCTATGTGGAGATTTTCTTTACTTGGATCTTTCAAACATGAGATGTTTTATATTAAGTTTTTGTTTTGGGAGCAGAAAGGTAGGGAGTTCCGTTTGTGTTTAGTCTACTATTTCACCCAGAATGAAAAAGAAAAAAAACAAAAAAAAGTTTGACAAAGTGGCAGGCAGTGGAGACCATGAGGAAGATAACAGTAATTTCAGTAACTCTCATTCTGTTTCTTTGAAATTCTCATCAGTTTACATCTCTTTACTTTAAAAGATATAACTTTTCTATTATGTTGGCAAAGATTCCAGTTCAAGATTTTAGGAAATTCAGAATCTAAATCATGAGAGATAGTACAGATTTTGCTTAAGCTACTGCTGTTCTAGTGTTTTTCAAAATTCTGGTAATAACTGGAAAGGGTAAAAACTAGCTGGTGGAATACTGGTAATAATGTACTTTTAATGAAAGTTATCTTGAAAAATTGAAAAAAATCCTTTAAATGATATAGATTTTTATGAATATGTTATATGTAAAATTATTTCACTAAAACTTGTTCATACAGAACATGGGAAGTGAGTATCTGATTAGAATGTCTGAAAATGAAAAGATTCTGGTTTTGGTCAATCTATGCCTGACCTTGTATTTCAGTATTCTTTCTTTGCCAATCAGACTGGCAGTCCAGAGCCCAATGTTCTTATTTCCCTTGGTCCATTTGCACTGTGATGTGTTTTGTAGTCCATTGTTTTAAACAGGCAATAATTTTGTTTAAAGATATTTCCCTCAGTTGAATATACTAGTTGAGGTTTTTCAATAATATTTTTAAATGCCCCATAATTGCTGAGTCATTCTTAGTATCATGTTTTACTCATCTTTTTTAATGTCTAATGATTAAAAATCTCCTATGGAAAAAAAAAATCTCCTATTGACCATTTTCCATACATATAATTTTCCTTGCAGGGATACTGTTCGGTAATTGAACTTGTTTTCTCATTCTGCTCAATATGAGACTTTCTCCCATCTCGTTGCACCTTAAACCTTTTTATATAGTTATTGAAAATATAGCTGCTCTTAAATTTGCAAGTTCAAT